TGCCACCACACACTGTGAGGAAGTCAAGAGAAAATCCACCTCAGACTGACTCCAACCACCGGGATTGGCCGATGGGCTGAGCCTTGCTTCTCCCCTCCTTGGGACGCCTTGGGTGAGACTTCAACTAAGCGCTTTTCTCAGGAATCTTAGAAATCTCTCTAGAGAGTTATTCCTTTACAGTAACTGTTGCACATAAGCTTAGGAAAAATATTTTTATCTTCAATCTACTCTTCAGTCTCTATATAACTTATAAATATAACTTTTAATGTTTGTAGCCAGGCTGTATCATTTATAACCTCTTCAAACGTTTTATGCTGAAAAACTACCTAGTGTAACCCACTCGTGTGAGAGTAAAATCTTTAACAAGGAGCCTGCAGGCAGCTCCCAATTGGTACCAGACGTTTCCCCTCCTGTGTGGACTAGACTGTATCAGTGCAGCAAGAAGTTCTCAAGAAAACATAGTTTCTGTTTGACTGTAGAGGTGATGAATAGAGTTGTTTCCTTGTAAGAAAATCCTGTAGTAGCTTAAATGACTAAAACAAGAAACTGTCTTCTATGAATGCATTGTCCATGCTTTGCTGCATTCAAGGGGAAGGCCCGTTCAATGCTGCATCTCCTGGGGTTCCCACCATCTCAAAAGACATTTCCCTCTGTGACATTCTTCTTATAATATCAGACCTACTGAATGTTCTTTTAAAAGATACCTTACAGAATCTGTGTGCCCTGCTTAGTAGGATCATCACAACCAAGCACCTCTTGGTGATAAAAAAACTCTTTCCGCACCCTTGGATGACATCTTTCCAGTCCCATGGACTGGTGAGGGTGTAGTTTGATCAAGTAACCCCTGGTTTTACGCCCATCCACTGCTGGTTGTTCTCCAGAGTCCTGCCTCAAAGCACACAGGCCTGGCAGACTCTGCTGCTGGTAACTGAGGCTGACAGAACATACAATATCTCAGATCTACACATGCCCGCTCTTACTATATTCAGCACTGGACCCACATTGTCTCTGTTTCATCTTAAACTGTTCCTGAAGCAGAAGAACCTCATCTTGGTGCCCTTGAAGTTCTTTTTCAAATTTCAGTTGCATTTTGATATGGACCATTGCTGTGCTTGGAGGATGCTGACCTTGAAGACAAGTTGTATCCAGGCACACTGGAAAAATTACTTGTCTTTTCATTGATTGTATCATCAAGGGAGTGAGTAAAGACCTCAGAGTGACGTGCTTCATGTCCATGCAATGCATGAAGAAATTGTGTAAAGAAGGGACAGTCCTCATGTCTCTGATGACATCTGATGGCTGATGCCTCTGACTGAAGGCGTTTGTCAATGACCCAAAGCCACCAAATTACATTCTCTGTGATACCACCTGGGGCGTCTGTGACACACACAGCTTGAATTGGATTTGCTTTCCTGTAGGTCCTGTGTGGTCCATGCCAACCTGGGCACCTCAGGGAGCTCTCTGGGCCTGGAAGTGAACACTGCGTTGAGGAGCTGCCCTGAATTCTGTTAAGCAACGGGAGGATAAACATGGGACAAATGCCACTACAGTCATTGGAAATCTAGTAAATTCAGGTAATGGAAAAGAGATACACCTAGCAGTCCCTGTGGTACATGACTGCCATCTTTCTTATGAAGAGCTCTAAATACTGCCTTGAATATATTGATTAGGAAAAGATTCTTTTGGCATTTCTTTGAGCATTAGCTGTCATTTCGTTTGTGCAAACTTTTGCATCTGAAGACCTCAGTCCTGCCCTCCATCTCCATTAATTCCCATGGGAGCTGAGAAAAGACGTTCACATACAGGTGTCTGTTTTGTGTACACCTGAACAGAGGCAAGAGGAACCCCACCTCCTGAGAGTTTGGGGCAGACATGGGAGGGAGCTGAGTCTCCTGCAAATGCTGGGAAGAGAAACACATGATGAAATGTCACCACTGACTCAGCTGAATGCCTTCCCTTGGGAAGCCTTGGGCTGGTCCTCTGCTGCTGAGCTGGGCTGGGCTCCTGGCATGGAGGGAGCTCATGGCAAGTGGGCAGTGCTGCAGAGAGACAGCTGTGCCCAGGAGCAGCTCCTCTGCAAAGCACAGCAGGGCTGAGGGCACTGCCTGCAGGAACCAAGAGCAGAGGAGGGGAGTAAGAGAGAGCTTAAAGACAGTCTGGGGTGGGAGAACAGATGAAAGCTCAGCTGGAGAAAAATTTTCACAGCCTTTACCAGGGTAAGTCTCTGGCTGCAAGGCAATGCAGCTGCGGTTCCTGCAATGATCTCCTAAAGCTGGCACATCCCACAGCCTTTGGGATCAATCAGGAGGACTCTTGCAGTTTCCTGAGCATAGAGAAAAAGGACGTGCTTTGGAGCAGGGCTTCCTCCTGCACCACCAGAGGGACAGCGCATATCAGCTGTCTTCAGGAGGGGATGATCGCTGTGTATGAAGCTGAGTGAGCAACAAGGGGTGCCCAGATCCATCCTTCCAAGCAAGGAACCTGCAACAAAGGGGGGCAGAGGCTTTGTCTCCTGCCAGGGTCAGCACTCTGCCTGCCCAGGGAGCTGCCCACAGCAGTGCAGGCAGAAGCAGTGGGTGGTAGAATCAGCTCCTGGCATAAAAGACTGTCCTGTCAAGAGGGTGCTGCGTGAGTCAGGGCTGCTCACAGCTAAGGACCATCCCAGGACTTTTCCTTTTAAAGCCGAAGGTCAAGGCAGGGATTATTATAAATGTAAACAGCTTTCCTAAGTCTGTGTTGTCAGTTTCTGGCTCTTGGGAGATTTGGGGGGAGAAATGGAAAAGCAGATTTAGTGCTTGAACAAGCCATTGAGACTCTCGAGCTGTAACCCTGAGATATCAGTAGGTGTGACAGAAGCCTGTGAAAGTGTTTTCAGCCACTCCTCTGCTTATGGACAGCACCAGCATCACCTTTGCTGGACCCATCAGGGTTGATCTGACCTGTCCTTTTCCACCTGCAAACAGGAACATGAGCCCAGCCAGTGCCCTGCAGACAGGCAGGTTTCTGTAGGGACAAGGTGAGTGCACAGAGGTTGGGATGGAGTCTGTGAGCATTCACAGGGAAAGACCTGGCACAAGGAAAACCCTCTTAGAAGGAAAATATCCAGGCAGCATGGGAATTACCAGGGGAATTGTCATGGAACGAGAGGAAATAACAACTTGAAACATTTTGGGGTGTAGAATTCAGAGAACTCTCTATCATCCCATCCAATACAGAGCCTATTCTCTGAGCAAGCCCCCTCTGCTCCTCTCCCACCCAGCAAAGCCTCTGCCCTCAGGGCAGTGGGGTCCAAGGCGTGACCCCCCTCCTCTGCAGCCAGAGCTCCAGCAGAGCCGTGCTGCAGCTCTCCAGCCACGGGCCCAGTGCCCTCTGCAGA